TAAGAAGTTTGGACAAAATCTTTCTATGTCTAAGATCAATTAACGATACTTGATAAAATTTTATTGAATGAATTTTTCTGATTGGCCAGAAAATTTGATCGAAAATGATCGACATCATGTGTCTGTCACTTTTTTTTCTGGATGGCTAGAGTACTAGATTGATTTACACAAAAAAGTCATGTGGGTACATGGCTTTAGACGACTCCAAAAATTATTAATGATCTGTAGAATTGTCGTTCATTAAAGCATATTATGCATAAAGTTACGTTTTGATATACTATAATTCCTAACGTAAATTTATAATTTTGAAATTATTTATTCAAATTATTTATTCAAATTATTTATTCAACTTATTTTATTAAATTATTTATTCAAATTGTTCATTCAAGAATTTATTTAATTTATTCAAACCGTCATCCAAATTTGAATAGCTAAAATGTATTGCATTTAAATTCAAAATTCTTTTAATACACATATAAAGCTTTAACCCTAAATTAATACTACCAGTAAAAGGTGTTCTTATTACATCCATTCCAAGTTTCGTAAGCTTTTTTGCTCACTCGATTTAATACTTCGAAGCCATTTATTTTGTTTTGGAAATTATTAGACTTGTCAAGAACAATTGAGTGCCTAAAACATAATACTAATAAAATACAATATACGTCAGTAAGAATTTCAGAGATACAAATAACGTCCAAAAATTCCTATAATGCACAATTCGTGGCTCTCTATCGCTGTTAACTTTCATCAAGCTTATAGTAACAGTTGCACCAATAGATATATGAAATGTATTTGATTGGTTTTTTACGATACTTTTATAGCGAATATATAAATAACAGTCTCTTTTTCATAGAACTTTACGATCTCAATTGTTATGTACTTGCCAAAAAATCATTAATAATATTTTTTTAATTCGTTGCTCATTTGAGAAACATCAACATCTATCTCAAGATCCATATACATAATGCTTTCTCCATCTTTATGCTTCCATTTTCTGATTTTATTATATAGACATTTTAGCATAAAGCTTGTAGAGCTTGAAAAAATGATAGCGAACTGAATCCCCATACCAGGAACGGAGTGAAACGAAGTGTATAGCTTAGTGAAGGGTGAAATGGTGTATGAGTGAAAAATCTTACATACTATTGATCAGCGTTATCATGGTCGTCACATTGTTGCAAGTTTTCACATACAACCATCACAGTGGATTCTAAATTGTACCAATCATGTATTAAACAGGTGTTGAAAATAGGTTGTATCAACAGTAAAATCCTACGAAGATAACTTAAACACGATTGGTCTTATTACACTGTCACAATTTTTTTTTTACGACAATCGGTTTTAAGATCAATTAACCCTAATTGTTTTCTTGTACACACATCTAGTTGTAACGAGAAGGTATTCAAAGAATAAATCAGAAAAAAGCTATCAATCATAATAGATATATAAAGAGTCGAAGAAAAATTGCTTTAGGCAATTCTTCATTTCAACAAACCATAATATCACTTTTTTTAATTTCTAGAGTGATCAACCTTTTTCTTACAATATTTTGCATATTTGCATATTTGATATTTCATTCTATTAATTAAATTTTTAGGAGCTGCTAAATTTCTCAAATTTTAGACCTGATTCTCTGCTTATTATTTGGCTTTTGATTTGGATAAGAATGAATTGCAAACATTATTTCCATGTCTAAGATTCTATTCAAATATTACTCTTGTTTATTTATGATAATAAATTCATATTATAATTTATTATATTACTGTAAGATATCATGAAGTTGTATTTTTTCATTAAGTATTACTATTAAAGTTGGCCCGTTCCTGGTTTCAGCGTGACCATCGTGCAGCTGCCTAATATGTTTCTTCTTTGTGTAAATAAAGTCAGCTGATCGAGCAATAATAATGGGGATTGGTTGTGTTGAGAAAAAAGAATTTGATAAAAAATTTCTATCAGACTGTCAGAAATATGTCTTTTCAGGAAAAGTGACATCGAAATTATAGGGTCAGGGAGATGGTATTTCAGGAAGGTAGGTTTAAGAAAAGTGAGAATCAATGAGATAAGATATCTAGTTTTATCAAATATTTATTTATTCAACACTCTATATTTATATAAACTATATATTTATTTATTCGATACTCTATATTTATATAAACTATATATTTATATACACTATATATTTATACATATAAAAATATAATCAAAAATAAAAATAAAAATTTTTAATACTATTCAAAAAAGCTATCATCAAATTCATTCATTATTTCATCGATATCAAAATTTCTGTTGCCAATAAGTTCATTATCATATATATTACTTAAAATAATAGTATTATTTTGTTGAAGTTGTGGGTTAAATAATTCATATCGTAAATCCATAATATTATCAATATCTAATTGATCTTCCAGTAATATGTCAGTATCCAACTTATTCATTTCATTTAAACTATTATTGTCATTTTCATCTAATAAAAACTCATCGTATTTATCAAATTGGTTTATGTTACTTACCATATTTTTGATTTCTTCTTCTGTTATCTCATCTGGTAAATATTTTAATTCGTTTTTTGAATTTGTTACATACCATGAATAAATTTTGGTCATTAATTCTAAATGATCAATATTTAATCTACCTCTACGATTTTCACTAAACCATCTTAATATTGAATGCATTTGTTCACAGCTAGCATTTTGATGTTTTAAATTTAGTATTTTAAATACTAATATTTTAATATAATTTAGTTGAACTTCAAGAGTAAGCCACCAAGTAAATATATCATTTAGTTCACTCCATAGCATATTAAATGGTGATTTATTTTCTTTATAGTTCATTTAGATTATTAATTCTTGGCCAGATATATCACATTGATTCATTTCTTTTCAATGTTTGAGTGCGAAATTACATAATTCTCAAAATATTCCTGGCTTAAATGCATTAGCTAATTTATAAAATAGATAAAGTTTATTTACATTATATTAGTTTAATATTTATTGCCGTAGCTAAAATTAGAAATGGCTGAAGCTAAAAATTTTAAATATTTTAATATGAAATTTTCAAAAAATTTTTGGAGTGTATTTTTTTAGCTTTTTTTTATAGTTAGCTTAGAATGTTGGTAGAGTTTATATTTTCAAATCAAGGTTTCTAATTTTTAGCTTAAGCCATTTTCAGCTTTGGAATGATATTTATTATAATAAATATTTAGTATAACTTATCACGATATTTAGGATGAAAAAAGAAAGCTAATATATATAATGTTTTATCAAAAATTCTCCACCTTTTGTTGAATATAGCAAAGCATTTTTTCTTAAATTCAATATTGAGATTATTGAAAAGTTTTTTAAGAGCTAAAGCCATTATTACAAGTTGAATATAACAATCAATTAAATTTGTTGATTTGTGCTCAAGACAAAGTATAGCTGTTTTAATTGAAGCTAAAACTTTTGTTAATTCAGCTACTTTTAAAAAAAAATATTTATCAGAAAATATGTTTTTAATATTCTGACTAATTTTATCTGGATAATGACCTAAAAGCTTTAAATACAATTTATATAAATATATTATAAATATAAACAAACAAATAATTATTTATAATTTAATAAGTTTTATTGCTATGAATACTTGTTTTAATCTAATTATAGAAGAAGTACAATCATAATATGTTGTCTATCTTGTTTTGCAAGCTATTTTTAGACCACTACTAGTTATAAGCATATTTCTAATTGTTTTATTTAATAAATTTCCTGCTATATGTAATTTTTTAAAATAAGATACTATACTATTGCATTTGGAAATTAAATCAGAAATATAGGGTAAGCAACAGATATTATGGCTGATTAAATGTAATTGATGTGCAATACAATACAATATAATAATTGAAGAATGTGTATTGTGAATTATATTTTTAGCTAGTTTCATGAAAGATGCGCTATCAGAAACTAAACCTATAAATTTAGTAGCTCCAATTTCACTAATAATATTATCTATTTCAAATGCCAAAAAATCACCTGTATATGAATAGCTTGATAAGTTTTTCACAGAATATAAATATTCTTTTGATTATCAGGTGATATTATAATGAATGAATAAATTAATTGGCCTTTTGAATTAGTCCATTCATCGAGATCTATTTAATACAAAAAAAATTAGTATATTGAATATACTTGACTCTCACTAATATCAACCTATATGGGAAAATTTTGATATATAAAAATTTGACTTGTAGCTTAGGCTGGTATTAATATAGATTGATAATAACAAGGTATATATAATAAATATTATACAAAATAATACTTAAAATATAATTTTAAATTTTAGCCTAAATTAAGTATAATTTAAGTTATTATTTAAAATAATATTTATAGATATTACTTTGTGAAGTGCAGTAATATTTACCTAATATCAAGTTTTGTAAATTTTTTATTTCATTATTTACTTTTATTGTAATTCTTGCCATGTCTGTATTTAAAAATACTGTTGAAAGTATAGTACGACTTGGTAGTATATAATTATTATATATTAATTTTAATAAATTAATAAAAAAAGGATTTTCAATAACTAAAAATAAAATTCCACAGCAAATAAAAGCTCTAAGTATTGTATAATCAATTTGAGTTTTTAAATTGTTATCTATGCTAATAAATTCTAATCTTTTACACTTATATGGTATTTAAATTAATTTATTATTATCTAAAATATTCTTATTTTTTGTTACAATTATTTGTATCTATTCTTGTTTGATTTTAGCTGAAATAGGTTGAAAATCTTCAGAACATTCAAAAGCTATATGAAATTCCATTCTATAAAGTTTTTCTCATGAAAATAGTGTATTGCAATATTTAAATATTGCTGAGGCATGTTCTTTTAAACTTTGTTCACCTTCAATAAAATGTTCCCAAATTTTTTTTGGCATTTGACCAGTTTTTTTACATTTTCTAAGTTGTGTATCTAGTTGTATATTATCTTGTATATCTATAGTCGATACTGATAAAGTTGTTGATAAATGTTCATTTAATAACATTTTAAAATTAATTAATATTAGTTTTAGTTATTAAATTCTTTATCTTATTCATATATTTATCAGCAAATATATAATATATATATACAGTCAGATCTCTCTAAATATATGTTCTTAAAACTATACTTTAATAATATGTATATAGAGAATAATAAGAAAAGGTGCATTTATAGAAGTTATGTATATATTTGGGCTAACACTTGAATATGCATTTAGAGAGAATATATATTTATAGTAGATATACTTAGAGACACCTTATTGTATATAATTTTTCTTATTATAGTATAATAATAAAACACAAATATTATTTTTTTAAATAGCATATTTGATTCAAATAATATTTAAAGATAATAATATCTATAGATATTTTAAATAATATCTAAATATCTTAAAATAATATACTTCTATATTTAATGTAGTTAAATCTTATTAAATGCAAACCCCTTTAAATACTACTTTTCTAAATGCAATCTTAAGCTTTGGCCCAAATATATTTCTAATCTTTATAAATGCAATTCTCTTATTATTATTCTTTAAATATATACTATCGAAAATTTTGTCCCAACAAGTTGTATTTAGGGAGGTCTAACTGTATACATATTGATAGTTGCTATATTTAAATCTAATAAGATTAGTACACCCCTATAAATACACAACCTCTCTAAATGCATATTTAAGTGCCAGCCCAAATATATAAATGATCTTTATCAATATACTTTTTTTAGTATTTTTTATATGCATGTTATTAAAGTGTGGTTCAAGGATGTATACTTAGAGAGGTCTTATTGTACTGCATATATTTATATAATTATGATACAGTTATCCTCTCTAAGTACACACTCTTGAAATCAAATTAAAGTTGGTATTTGAGATAAAACCTACTTGAAACTAGTTTAATTAGTGATTCACCAGTCAACAAGAAAAGATCTGCAAATTTTTATAAATAAATTTTACTATTGAGCCAAATGTGGAGTACACCAATCTAAAACTTTTTTTTACTAAGTAAATCACTCTTAGGCATTTAATAAAAATTGTAGAGCTCATCAAGATGCATCTAATGTTAGTAAGAATGTTAAAATTGGCTTAGTAGTTCTTAAAAAATCTTTAAAAAACATTTTATTAATATATAAAATTTCTTTAAAAAAAATTGATTTTTTTTAAAAAAATTTTATATAGATTGAAAAGTTTTTTAAAGATTTCTCAAGAACCACAGGTCAATTTTAATATTCTTACTACATTAAATGCATCTTGATGAGCTTTACAACTTTTATTATATGCCAAAAAGTAATTTACTTAGTAAGAAAAAAGTTTTAAATTAGTGCACTCCATATTTGGCTCAATAATAAAATTTACTTATAAAAATTTACAAATCTTCTCTGGTTGACTGGTGAATCACCAATTAATCTAAAACTAGTTTTAGATTTTTTATACTTCCTGACACTTTTACTTTTTTTTTTTTTTTATTAACTAGCCTCTTTGGCATAGGGGTTTTTATTTAAATATAATGGGCGAAGAGCTCACAATAGAATCCCAATTACATTAGAGAGTACAACTAGCTATACGTGCGCCTTTTGAGCACCTATTTAAGTAGTCTGCGTATAGATAACTTTACACTATAAGTTCTATACTAGCTGTCATACCTATAACCCAACTAGAGGATTACCTATTTAAACTTTCTGTAATGTATACTGCCTCTTTGTGTCACCGAAACTCTCCATTACATTCATCAGTCAAGAGTTTCGGATGCGTACCGTAGCCTTAGGACTAATTTATCCTCAAAACATCATTACTAGAGCTTTCCATATCCACAATCCAGCTAACCTAGGCTTTTGGTAACTTACACCAAGTCTGAGAACAAGTACTTGCAAGCCAAAGCCGCTACTATTACCTACTACTGCCCTTGTAGAGTTCACCCAAACCTTAGCATCCACTTTATGGATCATCTACTATTTTACTGGTTCCCAAACTTCCAATCCAGATATTCCAGAAGGACAGACCCCTTCCTCAAAATACACCGATGGCCTGGTTAGTATGGTGTCTTGCCGAACACCTCGGTTCTATCCAGTTTTCAGACCTTTGGTGATAATTCTTTACATAATACCGTCGAAAATCTGTGCTACCTCTTTACTCAAAACTTGCCAAGCAGGATTCTGTGTGTTCCAGCTTTTAGATTTACACAAATGCTTCACTCAGATTTCATAT